CATGATATAATATTCAAGGTAAAAAATACTATCAGTTATATAGGTATATACCAGTGCAATTTCATACAGCCTTTTATAGGATAACAGGATTATCTCTTATTATAATATTTGTATTTATAGAATGTATAGTACATTTTATACTGCAGAACGTCTTCATTATCATATAGATAATAGATTTATAGAAACAATTGTGACAGAAGTATCTTGGCAAATACAAAATATTGAAACTATAAGTATAAACTACACGCGATTATTATTGCGCCTATTGTATTGAGGGTCCTGAAGGGGTAAAATGGGAACTGGGATTGATCTATTTTTAGACTGGGAAAATGGGATTTGGGTTGCTGGGACTGGGATTTGGCCACTGGGAGTGGGAAATGAAGTCCTCAAAAATGGGAATGGGATTGAGGTAATGCGAGTCGATTCCCAATTTTTCCACGTTTTAAGTATTTTAAAATACAATTTTGATCCGTTTTTTCTGTCTTTGGTCATGATTTTTGTTGTTAACTATATTATTCACAGCACTACCTGCGAACAGGCATACTCTGGCGCCCGGAATTCTGGGTTTTCTGATTATGCGTGTCTCAGAATGCTGCAAATGCCATTTCCGGGATTCAAATGCCATTTCCGGGATTCAAACCCGCCACTTGCTTAAAAGGTCTTAAAACTGTTTATTATACCGATAAATAAAGGGGTTTTTATTGACTGGGATTTCAATAACTGGGACTGGGATTTCTAATAAAAATCCAACTGGGACTGGGATTTTGCCAAAATTTCAGGTGGGAAATGGGATTGGGACCCCCCTTCAGGACCCTCTGTATTATTATTCGCCGAAGGCGAGGCCGTGATTAATGATTATCGATCGGGTAATTTGTCCGAATTTGACAAATCAACTTGACAACTTGTAGGATTTGTCATATATTTATTCACTTGCGCAAAGATACTAATGACGGTATTGTTCATCTTTGCATAATAGTTTACACCGGTTTAGCGCCTGCCTAAATAGGCTGTGTTTACAATGTATTTTGTCTGCGTCAGTTTTAGCTTTTCATAAGTGTATTCAGCCATAGTGAACACGAAAACTCTCATAGTCATCATACTTTATAAAATACGAATGTATGATACATTAATTGCCTTTAATTGGTAGTATTACAGCAAACGTGGCAATAGTTGCTATAGACTACCTGAAGCACATAGACATGGATTCTGACACACATCGCCCCCCCCCCAAAAAAAAAAAAAATTGATGTCTGGCTACGCCACTGGTTATAGGTGTACGATTATAGCTACAAACTTTAAGAGTTGAAGTTATTGTTTAAAGTAAAATATAGCTGAAGTTAATGAATTAAAGTTTTACAAAATCTCTCTAGATCTTCAGACTCGCACGTTAGCCAAACCTCGACGGCTCATATTTTTTGTTCTGCCTTTTTTTCCCCTGTTTTGCCCCCCAGTAAAAATTCCTTAAAAAAGGCACTGCCGACCCTATACTATAGTATTGTTTTAAGACATGTTTTTTAACTTTTTTAAAACTCACAAGTATTATTTTTCAAGTCATTCTTGGGAGTTCGCAACACTGAGTAGTTGTCAACAAGGCCGAGGCGAAATGTCGCCAAACGGGAAGCCATTTATGATTTAAACGCTCATTTCGTTAAAAAGTTATTATTTTACATAAAAATCAAGTTAAAAATTCAGTTCTCTTTATGTAGTTTATATTAAAACAATTAGACAACTCAGCCTCGTTGTCTCTGAACGAATAGTCAACGAGGTACTGGCTAAGAACATGGCGGCCCGAAAAAACACCTTACGGTTTTCCAGCAGAAGTGACGTCTCTGTATGTACATACTCTGTGACGAGGCTGAGTTGTCTAGAAATTACGGTTGCCATTGAGTAAATTTAAAAAGAACAAAACAATAGACCCATTACACATGACGTCACACCTCCGGTGACGATCCATCTGGAGGACAACTTAGCAATCTATGCATAATATAACTTTTGTAAACAAAGCAAATTTTGTAAAACTATAATTGTGTATAATAATTTTGTATTAAAATGGTTAATTTTTGCGCTGTATGTGGTTGTTGTACCCGAACAGAGTCAACAGATATTGTTAGGGAGCATCTGGAGGACACTCTAAGGATTTGTGACGTCAGTGCAATGGGTCTATAGACACTCCGAAAATAGTTAACATTTTAATCAACGTTTCGACTAGTAATTGTTTGAATTATTAAATATACCAGTCGTGGTTTGTCAGTTTCGTTGTCTTCGGAGTGACCACCAGGGGAAGGCATGCCTTAGGGACTAATCATTATTTATGACTGGGGGTGGGCTGGCAAAAAAAGGGGGTGGGTCATGAGGTATTTTTGACCGAAAAAGGGGGGGGCACCTAAAAATATTGGTTCAGAAGGGGGGGTCCAGTTATTTGTTATAATAGTATTATAGTGGAGAAAAAATTGACATGTAACGATTATTGCTACCACAGGGAGCGAGCAAGGCAGCAAATTTAATTCATGTATAGCTGGCAAAATTCTCAATTTTAATCAATAGATAGACCCAAAATGCAATGCACAAATACCCAAAATGCAATGCGCGCAGGCGCAACTAATATGAAAAATAATCGAACATCTACCTTATAACTTTTGCCATGAATTTGCCATAAATTTTTGTCATATTTCAATACTATGTACATTTTACTAAAAAAGATAATTAACGAGTAAGCGATGCAGCAACATTACGTCCAGGGAAAGTTTGGCATATATTATATACATTAGTTTATGCTAGGTATTTTATACATGGTTTAATTTAGTAAGGAGTTTGTCGGTTTACCGTGTCAAGTCCTAGTCAAATGTCCGAGTCACTAGCTGTTTAGCGATTTTTGTAGTTCACTGACGTAGTACCCCAACCCTACTCCTAACCCAGGGCCGTAGCAACCGGGGGCGCTGGGTTAGGAATTGGGTTAGGAGTAGGGTTAGGGTTACAGTGCTGTAGGAGTTATAATATATAAATTGATTCCGCTTTAGAACGTTTTAACGAGACTGAACTATAAATAGTTGACGTTTTTAGTTAGACTTCAGAAGGTGCTTGAACAACGCGAAAGATTCGCGTGGCAGTCGTCACGCGCGGAACTACCTTCGTGAAAAAACCGGTTTGACTGGGTTCTGGGGATTTTTACTGTTGTTGTTTATTAAGGATTTTTGATCGGGTGATTATTCGAAAAGAACATTTAAAGGTGATCTACAGTCCGTATGTAAACAAAGCCTTTGTTTACATTTTTGTGTCCAAAATATTGAGCTTTATTCGACAACTATTTATATTTTCAAGCTTCTAGAGTATAATAAATGATCAAGAAACAACAATCAGGCTTTTCAAGAACTCAAAACATAGTTAAACTGTTTGTATCATAAAAAGTGGGCTCATTTGTGCACATGCGCAGATCGGACTGTAGATCACCTTTAAAATTTATATTTTTATGACTAATTTTTTTGTAAACCATTATTTTAATTACATTTTTTGAAAACTTAAACGAGTTCTATCTATCGTGGCTACACCAACAGTACCGAGTAACAAGCTTAAAACAACAATAACGATAAGTTTGCTATTCGTATCTGCTAACTACGCATTTATAAGAAAATTTAAAGTAATTAGAGATTTTGTAACGAAGGGACAGGACGGTGACAAGTGGCCATGAGGCCATCCGTCATACTCATATGATCCTCCTACCATCTAGGCCTGTTTACATGGAGGCGAGTTACTCGGCAAGGCGAGTTACTCGCCCAGGTGGGACAAACAAGCGTTTGATCTGTTCAACCGAGTTACTCGGCATTTCTGCATGATTGCCGCATGACGCCGAAATGGCGCCAAAATACAAAAAGGATTTTAGTCGTTTGAAACGTTAAAAAACGTTACAAAATGTCGTTAATATACAAGAATAAGCGCCGAGAAATTCAGGAAAACTTATGTAATGGTTCGTATGTATTTTTGTGCTATTGTATTTCAAATACAAATCGCATACATTCTATCTCGGGCGGCCGAGTTACCCGGGCAAAGTGTTTACATGGAAAATATTCATCCCGCCTGGACGAGATCCCGCCTCTTTCTGCCGGGAACTCGCCAAGGCGAGTTACTCGGCTGCATCATTAGCCTGCATGACACGCGGTACTTAGGAAATTCCGCCTGCCGCAAAACTGGGTGTAAATGAACTACCGGCCATGAAGCATCAAAGCTATTTATAGATGCATTAATTAAGTAAATATTCAAAATTAGCCACTCCCAAGTTGCTCCCAAGTCCCAACTGCCCAACATAAAATGCAGGGGTGGAAAAAATAATTTTCTTCCTGCGAGCACAGTAAGAAGATTATAAATTTCCTGCAGACCTGCAGTGTGTAGATTATAACCATGTCAAATATAGCGCTATAAATTGTAGCTACCTGTATAATGCACACGTGATTGGTGATTATGGTTTTAACTAAGGAATGATCATTCTTTGCACTTTTTGCATACATGTATCTAACAACAAGTGCCGCATACAAGTCGGCAACAGTTGTTTTATTTTGTGGGCAGGCTCACAGCAAACGCATGTTATCACTTATCATTTATCCAGAAAAAGTTACATAATTATTGAAATAGACTAAAAAGAGTAATATTTTTGTGGTGTATATAGAATCTATTTACAAAGTCGAAGTGAACTACTGTAATAACTCACATAATACTGAGTAGGCTAGCTTAAATCATACAATTGCATCAACAGTTCGACTGCTTGATGCTTATACGTTTAACCAAATAGAAACTTTACATAGCACAGTGAAGTAGATATTTGCTTAACATGCACCCTATTGTGTAACGAAGGGCAATCTCGATTCTTGTGAGATGATTCTGTTTATAACTTTGCTGTTATAAAGTTTACTCTGCTTTCCTTTTCTTGTTACAAAATGCCAGTTTCCATGCCTGAAATACTTTGACAAGGATGAAGATAAGATGCGATCAGCACCACCAAGCTCTGGGCCGCTGCAGGCAATCCACAGCTCGTTGTTCACAGCTTCCTCGGACATACTTCTTAGTTTACTGTTGTGCGTATTGTAGCGCGAAATAACTGATTCAGCAATAGACTCAACAGTCATTTTGATTGCTGCAACAACTATTGCTTCAACTACCATCTCACAACCAACGTATAGTTCACCGCCACTGGTCAGGAATGTTTTTATTAAATCCTTGCTATCCATCTTTTGCAACTCTGGTATTGCTATTGCTTCTGTTTTTGATGCTAGTCTTCGTACGAAAATCTTGTATTGTTGGACTATCTCTTGGTTATTCACAACGCGGACGTTTCGCGAGATTTTCTTGGCGATTCGAACAAACTTGTCGGCATTAAGAACACCTAATAAAATATG